CATATGCATCTGCTGTGCAAACAGCTTTGAGCTAGATAGACCAGCTTGGCAAGCTGCAGAAAGAGCTTTATTCCAACAAACTGCCAGCCACTCGTCTGTAGACTACAGGAGAAAGCGCTGTTTTGTTTGGCAAATCAATTGGATGCTTTGAGAGATTCTCCTCCAATGAGCCATAGAGCAAGACCAATCAAAAGAGCAAACCAAGAATATGCGTTTAAATTTCTTCTGCAATTAAAATTTTTACAACGGACACATGAAAAAAGTTAAACTAATAGTAAATGTCAAAGAGCTATTTGAAGCATGCAACGCTATCATTGCGCCAGACTCAAAAGTAGTTCTTGAACATAAGGGTTATTTGGAAACAATTAACATACTAAAGAATATATTCAGCAGTGGCGGTCTAAAAATAGAAAGTGTAAAGTATCCATGGTTTTCTTTATTTAAATTCAATTTATTCTCAACAGAAAGTAAGCGCTATACTGATAGAGAAAAGGAAGCTATCCTGGATATAATTAAGAATAACATTTATGAATACTATACGTACAATGTGTATAAAAGTATAGGCTATCTACATGAAGCTTTAAAGTGCAAAGATGAAACAGCAATTAAGAGCCAGTTTATCGATCTAATCAATGACATTATAAGACAAACCCCACTTATATACAACCCAGAGCAGGGAGTGCATATGCAGTTTGACAGAGACAAAGCGCTAGAAGATGTACTCTTGCCTGATAGAGACATCGACCTAAGCACTAGAGAATACATACTAGAGATTGATGATACAAAGTTCTTGAATTTAGAAAGTTTACGAGACTCTGTCATTGAGAGTCGAGACAGAAAAATGTTTCACTATATAACTAAAAATTCTATCGAAGACTCAATGCGCAAATTAGACATGGATATTTTTAAAAAATACTCATTCAAAAAAAAATACTACACTCTAGACGAGCTGTACACTAAGAAATACGAAAATACTAATGAGCTACTGATAGACTACGGATTGAAGCTTATTCACGAAAAATATCATAAGATTGCTGAGTTAATCGAGCTGGTTAGAGAGATAAAAATCATCTCAAATAACCCGCAGGATATAGTTGAAGAAATATACAAGGTGTTTACAGCAGAAGAGCTGCTCTTAGCTATTTCTATTAAAAACAATCTAAAAAAGATTTCACACGAAAAATACATACACGACTACATAATTGATACAATAGAATATGTAGCAAACAAAACTGACTTCTTAAAAGAAACAGAAGGAGGGCCAAACATTCTGAGACTGAAAGCAGGTTTAAGTAATTTTTACAGAAAGTATGTAGCTAGAGGCATAGATTTAAAAGAAATATTGAAAAAAGAAAAAACTAAAATCTATAATGAAATAAAAGAAAAACAGGAAATTTTAAGAGAAAAGAAAATAGAGTATGATCAAGCAGTGGAAAAAAATAATGAAGAGAGTGTTACAAAACTAAGCTGCTCTATTAATAATCTGGAAAATGATCTATATTTACTAAGACATGATAAACATAGAGCATTTTTAAAATTGCTTAATTTTAATATAAAGTTATATGAGTTAGATAAATTAAAGCCAATTCAAGAAGAGCACATACTCAAAGGGATAAAAAGATTTGCAAAAGCACGGAAAATAGAAGTAGATAGATTGAAAGTACCTAAAGAATCAGAAGTAGTTCTAGAAGAGTCAGAGGAACTCAAGGAAAGAAAAATAATACAGATGCAGAAAACTGTAATTCTCATAGTCTTTCTTATATCTCTTATAATATCTATAGTATTTATCAGTTTTTCTAGAAATGTAGCGAAACTTTCTAATATCTAGGTGATATGAATGTATAAAGAAACACTATACCATGCAGCGGAGTGTAGATAAGAACACAAATAAACATGATATGCCTCAGCTATCAATTTTAACCTAGCGCTAAATAACTCTTAATCTTATGCATACTTATACTAATATACTATTATCTAAGTACTTCTATCACACTTTTATACTCTGCATGCACTCTAACAGAGCTAGATTTTCATTTTAACCTTTTTATAGCACTTCTTCGATGACTACACCTTGAGTGTATTCTTTTCTTCTAAACAGCCTTCTAAACAAAAATAAAAGTAAAAATAACAAAAGTAAAAATGTACATGCTAGTTCTATAGACTTGGTATTTATTTTATTTTTATTTATATTTTATCCAAGAATAAACTTTTACAAAACAACTAGAACATTTGCACACATAAAAACATTCTTTGGCTACATATATTTGTTTATCTGAGGCACCAGAAGGTTCCATGCTGTACTACTGGCTGCCAAAGAATAACTGCTCTATTCGCTAGAATAGTCTATTGAAGTCACTGATAAAAAACCATCTGTATTTATTTAATCAATCTCTGCCTACTTACTCCTCACAGACATTCTTTTGGTAGTTGTAACACGAAATTAGCACATCAAGAACCTCGTTGTGCACCCCCAAATTGGACTTGCTGTGGTTCACGCGTCGGAATACAACAAAGCCTGTTTGCAGGTCTATCTTTCTAGATTTTTTTATACTTAGCGCCTCGCATATGCTTTCTAATCTGTTCTTCTGTTTGTACTTTGCACAGACTACCGCACCCTTGCGTCTTCTGAGCGGCAGTGGATCGTTTTTTTTCTTTCCTCCTAGAGCCTTCTGCACCTTTTCTATCTCCTTTAGCTTCAGCTTCTCGCTCGCTAGCATTGCTTCAAGCTCTTTTAAGCTATAGAAAATGGCATACTTATTGTGGCTCTTGTTTATTTCTGTTAGATTGTATATGTTCTGGAGCGAGAGTGCCAGCTCACTGCCTTTATCGTTGCTATTCTGCAATAGAAAGCCCTGCAGCTCGCTGTCCCTGTTGTACTCCCTCGACTCCAATGCGTCAACAAAAGCATCAAGGTTTTCTGTGTTTTCTTTTTCTTTGAAAGAGCAGTCCAGCGCACAGTGCGTATACTCATCCATGCCGTCCAATATTCTCGCGCGCCACACAGCTTTGACAGTGCCGTTGCTCTTCTCGCTCACACGGCAGTTCATACTATAGCACTCTATGTTATTTCTCTTTTCCTCATCTAGCAGGATGTACAGGCGGCTGTAGTAGCTGTGCAAAGTCGAGTATATATGGCCCGAGTAATCGTTATCATACTCGTACACGTCCGGCACTCTGTTTTCAAACTCTATCGAGTGCATCTCTTTGTGGGCATCTGCCGCAACAAAAGGCCCAAACTCCACAGCAGACTGCATCAGAGAAGAAAGAAACAGCGGTATGCAAAGAGTATCTTCCTCATGCCCGTTTAAAGGGATGAACTCCACAAAAGCAAGCTTTCTTTTGCTTAAGCCCTCCTCAAAGCGATAGAACACCACTTCGTACTCTGCGAGGTCTCCTATTGTGAGAGCTCTTTCTCCTTTCTTGACGTACGACCACTCTCTAGTCCCTTTTCTTACTTTAAAAGGGTGTATGTAGTCTGAATAGTGGTCTATTTTATGCAGCACCTTTATATATCTTACTATCTCATCGATTGTGTGCAGATATTGTCTTTGGTTGTTTTTGTCTACATAGAAAGGCATGCACAGCAGCCTGGGCTGTTGGGTTGTATTGTCCACATAGTACACGTGGTAGTGCGGCTCTACATTAGATGAAACTCGCCACAGGTTCTCCTCTATTGAGTACGTAGGAACCAGAACCTTTTTATCCAAGCTGCCTTGGGATACGTCTACTACTTTCTCGCACTTTATGTACACCTGTTTTTTTATTACGCACTTGCCTGCCAGCACATATTCTTTTTCTGCAACAATCACTTTTACTTTCTCATAGAAGCTTGAAAGAAGCGCATATATCTCTCTGTACAGCTCAATAACTGTCAGACTGTCCAGTGGCTTTTTGTCTTCAGCACATACGTTTTTAAGATGGCTGTAGATCTCTTTGTACAGCATATAATCTGTTTCTTTGTTTATATTTAGCTGCACTATCTTGCGCATTGCCAGTAGAACTTCCTGGCAGCTTTGGTTTGCACCTGAGCTTTCTGAAATGCGCGTCTCTTTTATAAGGCTTTCAGTGATGTTGGAAAAGTCTTGGTACACTTCAGGCAGCGCCAGAGCCATGTGCACAGCATGCACAAGCGCGTGGCACTTTTTGTCTAGTCGGCCGATGCTATCTAAGTCCTCCAGTATAGCATAGTTTGGCGCTGGAGACTTCCGCATGTAAATGTCTCCCAGCGTTTCCTTCCATGCTGTTTGGGGGCTGTCTTTTTTAGCACGCAAGGGCTGGTGCTTCTCTATATACGCTATCATGTCTTCAAACAAAGCTGGGTAGTATCCCCGGATGCCCTCCATTATCCTTCTGTGCACTCTCTCCTCGCCCTTAAAGAGCTCCTGCAGCCCCAAAAGATCTTTGTATTTAGTGTGTATATTTGTGGTGCTGCTTGCAATGAAGTACCACATTGCATTGGTATTTATTAGAGGGGCAAAATTTGCAGCAAACTCCTCAATTCTGCTTCTAAGCTTCATTTTATAGTGCTCTGTTTTTATCTCCTCGTCTTTGTACTCATCAAGATCGTCAACAACATAGATTGTTCTGTGTCTCATTCTGTAGCCTTTTCTTCTGTTGTTTCTTAGCCGCTGGCCCATGTTGTCCCATAGGTTGATGTTAAACCCATTTATGTTTTTCTTTTTTGCACTTTTTGCTACAGGCTGCTCTTCTTCACCCTCCAATGTGACTTCGTTCTTAATTGGCTGGCCACTGGCAGTAAGCATTCCTTCTAGCAGACTGTCCTTCTTCCTCTTCTTGTTCTCGGGCACAGAGTGATCTGTGCATGCATTCAACAAGTTGTAACTGCTCTCTTTTCTTTTTTCTCCTATAGACAATCTACTGATTCCAATGGGGCAGGCAGAAGTGTGTTTAATCACGCTGAAACCTTCTCTATACTGTTTAAATGTGCCACAGCTATTTTCTACCCTATCCGTTCTACTAGCACAGTTTTGATTGCAGACTAGGCCGCCATATATACCACCCATTTCTCTTTTAGATGGCTCAAGAACTATACTCTGCCCTTCCTCGCTAGAAGAGCCACTGCTTCCGCTGCATCTTGCAAAGAAAAGGACAGACGCAGCACCTGCCAGTATTTTCATCATTTTTAGAGCTTTCATATGCCTTAAAAATTTATTTTTTACTATTTATAGGCTTAGTTAAACGGACCTTTTTATTGGGTATGCTGCACTGTGCATTTATTTGTCTTTGTAATAAAAATCAGGTACTTTCTGCCATGCAAAAATATTTAATCACCACTGTTATTTTATACTCAGACAGTTCTAAGCCATCAATAAAGTGCAAAGAATAGAAATACTGTTCGTGCAAAAGGCATGTGTCTAGAACCCACTCTATGCCCATAGAATAAAAGCAAGATCAGTAGCTCTCTATCACTACTTGACTCTTGGCTGAATCTTAGCGCTTTCTCCCTCTGTAGAGCTTGTAAAAACAAAAACAGCATATCTACATCTAACAAATCTCTATTTATTCTCTATAAGCCTTTAATGGTTGTACAATGAGATGAAGGCATCAAGGATCTCGTTGTGGGCCCCCAGATTAGACTTTGTGTTGTTCACATTGCGGAATGCTATAAGCTCTGTCTCCACATTTGGCCTCTCAGACATTGCTTCCCGTAGCTTGCTGTGCAGAGCTCCCAGTTTTGCTTTTGTGTTGCTCTTTCTATTGCATGCTAGCCTCTTTCTATTGCATGCTAGCTTCCTTTCTTCTTTTATTGCTACTTTTTTACTTTCTCTGTCTAGCGCTATTAAATTTTTCTGTAGCTCGTCTGCTCTTTTAAACCTCTCTTCTGTTTCCTTTATTTTTTTCTTGATTTCTTCTCTATCCTTCTTAACTGCATGACTCTTCTCCTCAATGCCCACCTTCCAAATGCATACTCTTTCTGCTGCGCCTTCTGATCCACTGCATGCTGAACAGCTATTTTTCAGCCAGACGCCCTGCAGCTCGCTGTCTCTGTTATACTCTCTCGATTCTAATACGTTAATGAGATGATTAAGCTTTTCCAAGTTCTCTCTTTTTTTGAACTTTTCGCTCAAAAGACAGTGTGTATACGTGCTTGTACTGTCTGCCATATTCACGTACCACACAGCTTTGATGGGGTTGTCTGCCTGCGGAGTTACTTGGCAGTCCATGATGTAGCAGTCAAGAGCCTCTACACTTTCAGAGCCAAGCACTATGTACAGATTGCTGTAGTATGCATGCATATCAGAGTACTCTTCGTTTGAATAGGTATTGCTGTACTCATACACAGCGGGCTTTGCATTTTCAAACACTATCGAGTCTATCTCTCTGTGCCCATCCTTCTTAATAAAAGGGCCCAGGTCTACAGCTGACTGCATCAGAGGCGTAAGGAAGAGGGGAATAGAAATGCTGTCCTTTCTATGGTACATTAAAGATGTAAACTCTGCAAACACAAACTTTGTTGTTCTTAGGTCGTCTTCAATGCGATAGAAGACTATCTTGTACTCTGGCAAGTCTTTCACTGTTAGATCTTTGTCTTTGTCTTTAATGTACGACCACTCTTTGGTTTCCTTGTTTACTTTAAACGGGTGTATAACATCTGAGGTTATTTCTATCCCATACAGCATCTTTATATGCTTTACTATAGTGCCGATTGTGTGCAGGCAGTGCTCTTTTCCGCTCTTGTCTACGTATATGGGCATGCAGAGCATTCTGGAGTGCTGCAGCGCATTGTCTACGTAGTACACGTGATAGTGTGCTTCTATGCCAGGTGAAACATCCCATTTGTCCATCTCAAGAGAATAGAAAAAGCTGTGGGCTTGCGCAGAAGGCTTGGCTTTCTCTGAGACAAAGCCTAAGACTGCCTTGCATTTGATGTACTTCTGATGCTTTATGGCGCACTTTCCCAGCAAAATGTACTCTCTAGCATCAATAACCTTTGCTCTGGCATAGAACTCCACAAGGATTGTGTATATTTCTTTGTACACCCCAGAGACTGTTGGCTCTTTCTGTGCATCTTTGCTGTATATGCTCTCAAGGGCGCAGTGGATGTTTTCGTACTCATTTTCTGTTTTTTTATTATTGTCTGCTGCTTCCTGCACTAGGGCGTGTATAGACAACAGAACCTCCTGCTTCTGTTTATTTATAAAGAGGTTTTCTGACATTCTAGTGCCCTCTATGAACTCTGCTCTGATATGCGAAAAGTCTTGGTGCACCTCAGGCAGCGCCAGAATCATGCACAGAGCATAGGCCAGCACAGAATATTTTCTGTCTATTTGGCTGATCTTATCCTGGTCTAGCACGATGCTGTAGTTTATCTCCAGGCCTTTCTGGATATAGACATCACCCAATGTTTCCTTCCACACAGTTGTGGGAGATTCGTAGGTGACTCTCAGCGGCCTGTGCTTTTCCAGATATCCTATCATGTCTTCAGCCACTCCAGGATAGTATCCCTCAAGACCTATTACCATTTCCTTGTATCTGCTAGCTCCCTTGTAGCTGAGCAGCTCCTTCAGCCACAGAAGGTCTTTGTGCTTCGTGTTTATGTTTGTAGTTCGGCTTGCGATGAAGTACCACAGCGCGTTCTGTTTTATCAGAGGAGCAACGTGTGCAGAAAAGCTTTCTAGGCCTTTTTTAATTTTCTCTTGGAAGTAGTCGCTTTCTATGTCTACAATTGTAAGAGGATCAACTCTACTGTTCCTGTACGTATATATTATTTTATGGTGAGACTTATAGTTCGCCCTTCTTTTGTTGGTCAGTCTTCTGTCGTTCCACAGCTTGATGCCAAGAGAATTCTCCACTATTTTTCTTTTTTTAGTTATTCTCCTAGGCCTTTGCAACTGATGCTTTTTTTGTGTCTGCGCTGTTGCATCTTTCTCTATGCCTCCACTCTCCTGCTGCACAGAGACTATATCAGGTTTTTCTTCCAATGGCTCTTCCTTTTCACTTTTCATGCTCTTTGGTGAGGGCTGGCGAGTGGATAGACTTTCCTTCCTTTTTCTACGCATGGCTGCTATATTACTAACAATCTTTTTGTTAGACGCGCTACCATGTGCTATGCACTGCTCCTGCTCAGCCTGCTCCTCTGTTTTCAGCTCATATTCAAAAGTTTCACATCCATCAGGGATTAGGCTGTGCACACATTGGTCAGTAATAAAGGAGCGTAAATCGTGACTTTTGTCTGTCTCACTTGATGCCCCAGACACATTGCATGCCTGATTAAAAGGATACTCAACAGCACTGGATTCTGGCATGGGCTGCTGTGTCTGGCCATACTGGTATTGCATTTCATTAGCTGGAATTCTCGGGCTATACTCATCATAAGACAAACTGCTCACAGAGGCTTGGACAGCAGAAGGCAAAACTAGCCCATTGGCGCTACGCATATTCACATTTTGGTCTCTTGATGTACCAGGCATGTTATAGCCTGAGTCAAAAGGATGCCCATACACACTACCTCCCACTGCATACTGCTCATGTGGGGCTTGGTAGTCTATTTTATCATTCACTCTATTACTAAAGCTGTCTTTGTTCCAGTAGAGCCCGTGTGTAGGCATAAAAGGAGGATATAGGCCTACTGTTACATTTTCGGCGCCATTTTCTCCCATGCATGGATGCCATATGCCATTGTGTATATTTCCATTAAAAAGGCCGCTACCGCCTCTGCACTTTGTAGCGAAGAAAATAAGCACTATGCCTACTGCATCTAGTATTTTCTTTAGTTCCTGATTTTTCATGCTAAAAATATCATTTTTTTTATTTATAGCTTTCAGTTGAGACCTTACTCATATGCCCCAATTTATACATATTTTCTCGTGAAGAGCCTCTTCTCTATACTGTTCTACTGGATAAAAGTTAATACACTAATTAACAAAGTTTTATTGATGGTAATTCATCATACTGTGATCTGATAGCCCGAGAATTAAGCACAGCAGATGTAACTATGCTATCGCAAAGAATGCATAAGAGACAGCCACACTGACTCTGCTTGGTATACTAAAAATAAATTAAAATTTTTCCGCCTTGGGAAGCCCCTGATTTTAAAATATTCCATGCAATTAAAACTTTTAATATCCATCCATGAGAGAAGTTAAACTAACAATCAATGTCGAAGGAATACTAAAGGAGTGCCAGTCTGTTGTTAAAAATGATACATCTATCAAAGCAGATGACAGAGTAAGCCATATGAACATGCTGAAGCGCATAATTAAGGATAATCTAAGGATAGAAAGCGAGGAGCTTAGTGAAGAGAAAAAAGAAGCTATTCTAAAAATAATCGAGAATAATGCCTGCCAATATTTTATATACATTTTAGACAAAGGAATTGGTATTCCTATAATAAATTCTAGACTACTGTGTGGAGTGTGTGGACTTAAAGAAAGAGTTAAACTTGTATTTATCTCTTCAGTTATTGAGCTTATAAATCCAAATAAATTTATATACAATCCTGAGCATGGAATAAATAGAGAGTTTGATATGCATGAAAAACTAGATAGTGTAGATCTATCTTATGGAGAGCTCGATCTAAGCACTAGAACATATACTTTGATGGTTGATGATACAAACTTGGAAAATATTCTTCAACTTACCTCAAAGGATATGGATAGAGAGAATGCTTTTTTTGTCTCGAATTATATGCGTTTAATGTATATAGATCTTTTTAAAAAGTATACATCTGTAAAGGGATGCTACAGTTTAGACAATCTATACACAAAAGAAAAAGACAAAGTTCCATTGATAGACTACGGACTGAAACTTATTTACGAAAAGTATTATTTAATCGAGGGTCTAGTTAGGAACATCAAAGAAATAGAAAGTTCTGACAACAATGACGTACATGATATACCTGAAAAACTCAGCAATTTGCTTAAAAATGAAGAGTTGGAAGTAATTTTCTCTATTCTTAATATTAAGATTAGTAACTGGAGACTAATTTGGAGAGAAAAAATGATATACATTAATATGATTAAGGCAATAGAGTGCATGGCAACTAGCACTGATCTACTAGGTGGAAAAGATGAACAAAAGGTGCTGAAGATAAAAGCAGACTTGAGCAACTTTAGTGAAGACTATATAAGTGGTTATGATGGCTTATTAGACATAATGTTTGATAAAGAAGAAAAACTACGTGGCGAAAAGAGAATACTATATAAATCTATTGAAATTGAAAAAGAAAAGTGGGATAAAAAAGAAAAGAGTCTGACAGAGTGGAAAAACACAACTGAGCTTGATCCAAACTCGCAGGAGTACCAGGAGATGGTGAGAAAAGAGGAAGAAGAGATGAAAAGTATACTGCACGAAATTAATTTCCTAAATAATAAGATATATTTATCAAACTTTGATACTGAAAAAGTAAAATTAATTTTAGAGTATATTAATAGGCTTCGAGTTGAGAGAAACCAATTACTTGATTTAAGTCCAGTTCAGAAACAGTACTTTCTCAAGAAAATAAAAGAACTTGCAAAACTACTAAACATACAAGTAGTAGTAACAGACGAGCCAGAAGCAGTCGAAAAAATGAAGGTGAATGAGCCAGTTGAGCAGCACCAAACACTAGACATGTCTGGTGAAACAGGATCTAATCCAGCAGATGCATCAGCTCGGACAAGCACTCTTGGAAAAGTACTAGCGGGTGGCCTTCTTGTACTGGGATCAACAGTATATACTAGCCATCGTTACTCAAAGAGCAAGCCAAAGTCTGCAGCCAACAGTGACAGCGATAGTTTATATCACGTCATGGACAGCAGACAATTACAAAACATGAACAATCACGATATATCTTGAGCTATCTAGTCCTAGCTAGCTACTATTAAAATAAATTAGTTTTAGGTTTGTTATTTTAGCTGTTTTTTCTTCGAAACCATTAAAGAATACTGAACCATTTATTCAATACAAACTCTTTAAATAGTTTACTTAATGAAATAATCATTTACTTTCTTGGGCTATTATGAAAGTCATAAATAACCCGAGAATAAAATAAATGATATTCCATTCGGAGTTATATTGGTCTTGCATATTATCTCGTGCAGTCTCCTTGATAATATATTCCCAAAAAGGTTAATGGTTTAGCGAGGCAAAGCCAACAACTTTTACTTTGTCAAACCATAATCTCTCGGGTTATATTATCACGAAAAATATATGAGGTAATATGGAACACTATTAGAACTCTGAATTGCTTCCTGCAGCCAATCACACATTTATTAAAAATGCAATTATTTATCCTTTGTGCAATATTTAAAACAAAAATATAATGGAAGACAAACAGCATTCTGAGATAGCACAAGAAAATAGCAGAGCAGAAAAGAATCTCGGTGTTCTCTACCAGGACAGAGAAATAAAAACAAGACACAAAATAGCAAGGTGTCTCCGAAGAGGGATAGAGTGGGGGCTAGGCGTGTTTTCGTGTCTTCTTTTTATCAAAGGGCTGTACAGTGATGCGCTAAAGAATGGGGCAGGCTCAGTTCTTCCCAAAATAGTAATCCTGTCTGCTGTTGGGGTCTCGATATACAGCTGGAAGAAGGCGATAAGCAGCTCTGCTCTTTCTCGAAAAGAAGAGCATCTTTTCTACCACAAAACAGTTCTGGGCATTATAATAGGCTTGTTTGGCGCCATATCGGGAAATCCGTGGCTTCTCTTCGTTTTGACAAGCAGATCGCTCAACACCCACCTGTTTGTGTTCATGCTCTTTACTCATATTGTTATAGGGGGCTCTGTATTTTTCATAAACAACGCAGCCATAAGGCAGATAATTTCGATGTACCCAACGATAGCCACGACAATAGTAAACTTTGAAGAGATCCTATCTGAGAAGGGCATGCACTGCACGTACCAAAAGAGCAGAAAATATCTTCTGGGCCTTTCTATAACCTTTGTCTCTTTCTGCATTATAGGGTTTTGCTTTTCTCCGTATGTAGCAGATGTTCATAGGCTATCTTTGCAGTTTTCTGAGATCCGTGTTTAAATATTTAATAAAGAAAGAGGCATCCATGTTTTTATCTTTGAAGTGTGTGTATTTAGTTTATATGTATATATCTGTGTCTATGCTACACTCATACTCACCATACGTCAAAATAATAGACAAAGCTTAATGATGGCTGACACATTCAGTCATCCTGGTGCACAATCATTTATTTTTAATATTATGTACTGCAGCCACTGCTAATCATAACTGCATCATTCTGCCACTTCATGCAAATAAATAGTGCAGCTGAAAAAGAACAACAGTCCTGCAGAACACAGCCTCCAAGAGAAGGAGTATATATTTGGGAAAAAATTTTAAGCAATGCTCTATAGTTTGGAAAAGAGAGAGATGTCCGGCCACGCGCAGACTCTTACCTCAAAAGCGAGGCTATTACTCTATAAATGTCCTGTTGTTTTTTTTGGCGCAGTTCTTTATCTTATGTATGTTATGACAGTGGGGGAGAAGATGTTTTTCAGCGAAGGATCCTTTGCAGGCGCTAGCTTGCACATAACAAGCACCGTCCTGTTCGTAATCTCATCTTGTGTGTCGCAGGTTCTGTTTTTTCTCTTGTCTTCGTACACCGCAGGCGTTGTGTCGTCTCCGATCTCAGAGTCTTTCAAGAATGTGCAGGCCATGCACGCGTCGCTTGCTGGGGATGTTGGGCCAGACAGAATGTTCACGAACCTTTTCCTCTGCATGGCGCTGGCCACGCTGTTCACAAGCGCAGGCTTTTTTGCTATGTATGCACTCCGCGCAGAGCGCGTGATAAAGCGGATACCGTCGGGCATGTCAAAGGCCCTCTTTGTTTCGATAGGGTTCTTGTGTGTGTCCTATGCAAACGAGCGCATTGGAGACATCCAGGTGGCGGTGGGTGCAAAGTGGCTTGTGCCTGCGCTTTTCAATGCAGCAGGCGTGTCTATAACTGTGCTGTGCTGGGCATGCGAAGGCTCTTTCCCCGCTGTTGCGCGGTACAGTGTGCTGTGGGTGGCAGCGCTCTTCACAGCGGGGTTCTACACCTGGGCATGGACCAGCGGTGAGAACACTGCATCGCTGCTCGCCAAGAAATGGCTCTTGACCGACCCAAGGAAGACAGTGGCTCTGAAAGTGCCTCCGCTGGTGTTTGCACACGTGCAGACAGGCGCAGTTCTAAAACAGCTGCCCAACATTGCGAAGATCGCCGTCTTGAACATTCTGCAGTTTCCCATAAACTTCCCTCCCACAGCATCGCAGAC